ATTCATATTCTCACTAATTGTAATTTATTGTTTGAGCATCTTCTATTGCCTTGATTTCATTTTGATACTTCGTGTGATCATTGGGTTCATTATTACATCTGCCAAACATGTATCTTTTCAAGGGAACTAATATAAGTCGAATCTATTTAAAGTTGTATTATCGCAAGAAGGACACATTTCTCATATTGTATGTAACATAATGATCTATAAAATACGATAATTACGTTGTACTACTGAATAAAAAACAAAGTAGGCTGAAACGTAACTATAAAACAACCTGGTGTTTCTATGTGACTGATCTGATTTCGATTTACGACCAACACTCTCTTTAAACCTTGCCTCTGTAGTAGTAAGTCCTTTAAAGAGAGAAGATTGGATTTGAGTCTAGGCACCCCAACAGGTAAGAAGCACCACTGCTAATGCATCTTCAACGCTCAAGCTTAAAGTTCAGCATTCCACTAGGGACCTAGAGGAATGAAAGAAATGAGTCACATTAAACCACTTCAAAATAAACCATTTCAAAACAATTTACAGTTTGTGTGGTTTTCATAGTTTAGAAATTGTAACCAGAACGAAAAATCGTTACTAGTTAGAAGTCTTCTAATTCATCTTCCATACTGATTACTCTTAATCTTCACAGGCTCAAACCTGCTTGAACTGACTTAGAGCACTGGTTGTTGTGGCGAATAATTTAGCCAAATATGACTGGACAACAAAACATCCAACCTTGTGTAACCAGTCAGATTAGGCACTTGATAACAGTACATACGTTTGCTGTAATTTAATTATTATCAAGTAAGAGTTTTGTTGTCGTATTTTTCCGTGGATCAGGGCAGCTGAAAGCTTCTAACAGTAAGCACTCTCATTTGGTATATAGTATAGTTTCATATTCGGCTTCGGAATCGAACCGAAATCACAGCGTTATTATTATTATTGTCGGGATAGCAAATAAAATTTTTAATTGTTTTAATATTCCCCACTGAGACGTAAAATAAAGAATTTCAGCGAAGAAAATTCTCTTGTCGACGACTTCATTTCCATAGTTGTACAACCACATATTTATGTAAACTACAACAGAAAATAACTATCAGTTTTTTTGTGTGTGTATGTGTTAAAGTGTGGTAGCTAGTGAAAATACTGGAGTGAGATAATATTGGCGCATAGGATTATGAGTCACAATTGATAAGATATATGAAAGAATAACTAAATAAATTAAACAGAGGTCAACCTAGAATTCAGTAGATGACATGTGTGAAATAGATGATCGGAAAATAAAGTACATTCAGAAATGTGAATACGTGAATATAATAATATGATGGAGACATAGGATGGATGAGTGAAATGTTGTCAAGGTAGTGGACTAGATTAAATGTTAGAATGTGATAACATAAAGTGAATTGGAATAAAACAAAATGGGACAATGGATAAAGGAGGATAACATAGTTGTTATATGAATTACATAATAAAATCAAGAGCATGGTACTCAAAGTTCTGACTTTAAGTTATGTATTACCAAAGCCTCTGCTATACAAAGCAAATGCACTCGTGTCCTTTTTGTCAAACTTTGTTGAGTTTTGTAAACTATATTACAGCATGTATCAGGTGATGCGTGACCAGTATCTACAGTATGTTGGAATATCGACGAATTAATAGCTCTATGCTCTCCTTTATTCAACAAAGCTGGGACGTACTCTCGAACGCGTCAGGATATGTTTCTCGATGAACGTCCTACGTGCCTGGCTCAGCAAGAACAGGTGAACACATAAATACACATGGAATTTGACAAGTGAGTTAACATTTCCTTAACGTTATGGTGCACTAATGGGTGGCCAGAATTATATATATATATATATATATATATATATATATATATATATATATTAAGTTAATATACTTTACCAAGACGTTCACACAAGGTAAATTCCTGAGAACAAATTGTTGTGTAGAGTTTAACTACTTTCAAGTATTTAAGTAGACGAAATTTTAAGACTAGTTTTAGTTGAGTATGTGTGGTTCAGTCAACAATGTATATTCAACTGACATAAAGTATCGTGATAATACTGAGAAGGCAGGAAATCGTATATTGTTACCTATGTACTCTAGTTTTCCAAAGGAAATCATGGGGAATTTCCACTGTGAAATGTACAATTTGCCATTTACCGTTGGGATTCCACGTATTATCTGTTCACCTACGTAGCTGACTAGAGTCTGATTTGTTTGGACTGAATCATTTCGGGTAAACTCCTGATCAGCTGTAGCCCAAATGAGCTAAATGGTCATCAAGTGTTTAAATCACTACGATCTGATTAACTACCAATCACTACTGGTTGATGAAATTGGTATCCAACTACTCATAATAACTAATAAGTAACATATAGCATCATGCGGTCACACTTATTTTCTTGACTTCCATTTATAACATCAAGCAGGTCACATAGTGTAGCATGAAAACTTTAGACTTTTTTAATGATACTGTAACCAGTTTTCACCTTGAAATGTGTAACACGCAAATTACAAATTCGATTCTAAGTCACTACTTCCTTGCTATCGATCTGTGGAATTACCACAAGTGAAAGCATATGCGCAAGTAGGAATTAGGAGGTCTACACCTCCCTATATGGCTCAAACAAACAGTTAAAAACTTTATGGATCACAGATTTTCATTTGACTTGCGGATGACCAGTGCGGATATCTTTTTCTTTTTCCCTTCACATTCCTTAGTGAAACATAGGGCTTCAAGCTAGAGGCTTGAAGTTTCTGTAGCAGTGGTGTTTATTTTACAGGATGGGGTTGCTAGCCTTATGCCCAACCTTTCCTTTTCACCAGCATTATTTCTGGCTTAGCGAGGTAATGGAGTGCGTCGGCCGGGGATCGAATCCCGGACCATGTGCATGGTCGGCGAGCGTCCTAACCGCTATGCTGCCGACGCGAAAGCCAAGTGTGTCTGAGATTAGAGTTGACAAATTCGCAACAGTGAACGCGTATCACTTACACTTAGGTTACATTCGCTGGTCATATCATATTTGTAGGCGCTCAGTTTTCGGATATCTAATGTCACACAAACTTGAATGTAAATAGAGGCGAAAATCAACAAGTTCTCAGCAGAAGCAGCGAAGATATTGATTCAAGTAAAGATAGTGGTGATGGACATACCTGACCACCACCAATAATAACAAGCATAGATAATCCATCCTCAACAACAGAGGTTTGGACGAGGCTACTTTCTTCACTTATTTGGGCAGTAATGTTTCAACTACAGGCAGCTTTACGAGTGAGGATGTCGAAATCAGTCGTGGTTAGCAAGAAAAGACAGAAATTCATTACATTTAAATCCGTGTGAATATCTACTGCACTAGGAATAAAGAACAAGATCAGGATTTTCAACATCAATGTCAAACTAGTGCTTCTTTATGGCTGAGAGGCCTGGTATGTCATGGAAGGTGGCCAGAAAGGAAGTCTGGAAACAAACCAACCAAGAATCTATCGTTCAACAAATATGCCAAAGACTGATCGGAGACACTCTGGGAAGACCGCTGAGTGAAACCGCACGCTAGGCCATTACTAGAGTGGAAACTGAATAGGAGACGACAAGTTGTGAGTTCGAAGGTAATGTGGGGGAGATCTTGTGAGGAGGAGATAACAGCTTTAAGGTAATTGTGGGGAAAACTAAAGAGGACTGCAGTGAACAGGCTGAAATGAAAAGGTTTCGGTGAAGCTTTTTATTCCACTCTGAAAGCAGGATAGCAGTAATTATGATAAAAATTTCTTATTTATGTGTAGATCAGCATTCCAACTGCAAGATATGACTGCTTATAATAATTTTTATTTTTCCTTTGGACTCCAAATGGAATATAGGCCTTCAACGGCACTTCTCTATCTCAATCTGTTCTCCACATCCGTCCAGTCCAACTTCATTTGTCTCTGCATATTCATTACTTGGCTCGTTGACAAAGTAAAATGCTTTTCATACCGAGCATGACAACTCTCTGGACTGACTAAACGTTAGTGCTGTAGGTCAAGATTTTGTTCTCTACCCTAAGTATAGTAGACTTCCGAATTGACTTCAGATTAATGAAGGCTTGTCTCACTTTTCCACTCTTGCTTGGCTCTAACATCTTTATCTTTATGGCGTCTGGCTGAAACGAGGCTGTTTAGCCAGTTAACTGAAAGAAGTCACTAAATACTATCTATCACTAAACAATGATTCCTACACGCCATTTACAACTTCATCGTATGCCAGTTATAAACTTTAGAAACGTGTGAAAATGCATAGGTAACGTTCAAACAAATGTGTCTACTTAAACTAAAATTCTATTATGCTTTTGGTAGTATGCTAAAAAATGAAGTTGATAATCCCACTTTTACAAAGCAAGAACTACAGCTATAGCAGAATAAACTGGTACCATCTTTTATTTCGTTGCCTTCTCGTCAGCTGCTTGCAGGGCAAAGACATCATTAAATTTATATCTACAAAAACAATTTCGAAAGATCGGGCTTCAGTTCTCAATTTAGAAATCAGAGATTCTGTTGATTCAATATGCGATTTTGTAATGCGTCGAAGATTTTTGAGAGATGGGGGTAATTTGCAAGTACGTAGTGACTTCATGAGATGGCGAGGAAAGCAGTGAGACCACAAGCATTCATCGTAAAACTTCAATCGAGTCACTTCTCTGGATATTCTGCAACGAACTGTTACCAAATGATTCAGTGATTTGAAAGATTCTCTGGGGAGGCGTTTTTTTCAGAAATTTCATACATTTATTCCCCTTAATGAATTTGAACAAAGCAAGAACTACAGTATTAGCAGAATAAAGTGGTATCATTTGGTTCAAATTCATTAAGGGGAATAAATGTATGAAATCCTACTTGTGTCACGTGACTGCATTCAACTGACAAATTGAAGCTGAAAATCAATAAAACCTGAACTATACAATATATTTATTAGTGAATACTAAAACCATTTAACTAACTAACTACCTTCACGTTATCCTTCAGAATTCATGGAGCCTGATAACAACAATGATTTACCACCTGAATTAGTTGACATTCTTTTACAATTTTCAATTGCTGTCCTTAAAGCAAAACCAGCTAATATAATCACTTTTGGAGCAAAATATTTTACTGAATTATCTAATACACAAAATAAACCCACAGTGCATAAGACTGTAATGCTTAAAAATGTTACACCAACAAACAAAATTGTTACTGTTGGCATTAAACCCCAACACAGTGAAGCCAGTGAGACAGACAGTGTCTTTAGCTTTGATATACAAGATTTAACAACACACAAATCGTTAAAAACTCGTCGCCCGAGTGTTGCCGCTGAACGTTACAATCCAGAAGATGATGAGGAGGATGAGAATGACGAGGAGACGGAGCCTAGTGAAGTAATGGTGAAATCAGAAGAACAAAAAATTATGCTGCTGGATGTGTGCAAAAAGAATACGATATTCGCGTCTAGAGATGATGAAACCATTCTGAAAATCATTGATGTGATGAAGTGTCGGCCAGTGGAATCCGGGGAAACAATCATTGAACAAGACGATGATGGGGATAATTTCTATGTGATTGAAAGTGGGATTTATGATGCTATAAAAAGTGATATCAACGGTGAGGAGACATGCGTGTACACTTATTATAATGAAGGCTCATTTGGAGAATTAGCACTGATTTACAATGCACCGAGATCAGCCTCTGTGATTGCAAGAACTAGTGGAAAACTTTGGTATATCACTAGAAAACACTTTCAAAAACTTATATTATCTCATGCGTCGAAACAACGTTTTAAATTTCTTGATCTTTTACATTCTGTTAAAATGTTTCATGAACTAAGTCCAGATGAAAGAATGAACATAGCTGATGCTTTACGTACACGAAAATATAAAGATAATGAGTGTATTATTCGGCAAGGTGATCCAGGATATGAAATATACTTTATCATGGAAGGGAATGTGATTGTTAAGCGTGAAGATAAGAATGGCGTTGAATCTGTCATATGTGAATTGGGTAAAGGCAGTTATTTTGGGGAACTTGCTTTACTGGTTAGAAAACCAAGAGCAGCATCTGTCTATGCACGTGGTAGTGTAACAACAGCTTACTTAGATGTGGATAGTTTTGAAAGGCTGCTTGGTCCTTGTGTGCATATTATGCGTCGTAATACCAGCACTTATGGAAGTTATTCAAAGCTTTTAGACAATGAAGATATTAGTGATATCTGATTTGACAAGTGATGAAACAAAAACTGGCGCTGAAATAAAAGGAGCTACATTTGCAGTTTGAGGAATAATCTCAGGATACAGAGTTAAGATGGTTTTAATTACTTCTAATCATTTTTATCTTCTTTTTTTTCTTAAATGTCAAGGATTCGAAACATAATTTTTTTTTAAATATATCATATTTTTATTTCTTAACATCATTGTGCATATATGAATGACAATGAAATGGAACAGACTTACAGATGGTACAGTTTCGATTGTTGGAGGCAGTTCTTAGTAATGCCTGCTCCACCTAAGTTCCGTGTTTATTGGTACTCATCAGCAAGACATATCTGCAACCTTGAGGGAACTCACGTCCCTTCTTAGATTCGAACCCGTATTACCCAGTGTCGCAGTCAGAGACGTTACTACTGAGCTATCAGGGTCAGCGGTTGACCTCCTGTAGGACTGTATTAGATTTTTTTTGATTGGACACTAGTCATTAATTAATGTCATGTGTCTAGTCATTCGTTTGGTGCATACAGAATTCTATCAGTCAGGTTTGTAATACGGCCATCATGCAAGATGTCCGATTGCCTCCAACTACCTAACAGCCATTCAATGTTCACCATGGTGGCTGGGCATCTAGCATAGTTGTCACAAGGCAAAATTAACTAGCAGAATTCAGTGTGCACCAAACGAACGACTAGATGCATGACATTAGTCCCTATCTAATGTCCAATCACAGTCTAGTTATTTAAGTAGCGCAATTGCTTGACCTCCTCGAGTATTTTAGGTTCTATAATTGAAGCTTTCATTGTCCTACTGGACAGCATATTTATTGTTGTGAAATTAGTGCTCAAGATCTATCATGGATTTAACCTATGACATTCAAATTGTGAGTCAAGCATGTTATCAATCAGCTAGCGATCTGGCTGACCGATGATTTTTAATTTCTATCAGTTTGCAATCTGACGTTATAGGTATCGAAAGTTATTGATGAGTATCTGTCCTAATAGTCAGAATGATAAACCTCAGTGACAAGGAACTCTCATTAGAACTCCAGGAAATGCAATGCGAAATAAGTTATCACTAAGGTCTGATCAGATTTTCCTATGTTCGTTTTTTTGGTGCGGTTTTGAACTTTTTAGAGTTATATTTAACCGTGAACCAACTTCATGGTTTGGTACTGTTGAAGTTTTCTCAAGCTAGAACGAGACAGCTGTCTAGTTCACGCTGATCTTCTTTAATTATCTAACTGATGTAGGTGTTTGAATAAATCTGCTGCATGCGAATGGACTTGGAATGTGGTGATGTAAGGATGGATGAAAAGAAACACTGAACAGTAAAGATGTTTGAAACTTCGACTATAGAACTGAGTTTCAGTAACTTCATTCGAACTCCTCAAAGCAAGGATACTGAGAGGAAGTTTCCCAAAAGTAAGCAAAATAAGAGTTTTCAGTACAACTACGAAGAGTGGTGGGCAATGCAAGTGAAAGTAATGGAAAAGGTGCCAACAATGAGTGATGCCCATCAACAGTTTAGGCTCATTCAGGAGACAGCTTCCTTTCCTTTGTATTTGAAGTTAGTACAAGTCACAAATAAAAGCTCATAGGGAAGCAATCTCAAAACATGATCATTACCAACATTTTACTGGATGAAGACTCCATAAGTATGCGTCAGTATAGTACTTGGAATGCGTCAGCCTCCTTTCTTGGGCATTAAAATTGCATGTTAAGATCAATGAACCTGAGCGTTATGCTTTTAGTGGCAAAATCTAGATAGCTTTTGGCATAGCCATCTTTTTCCAACTCCGAATTGCAGTCAACAGAAAAAGAATCCCTTAACGTCTGTTGGAACGATTTTTTAAATTCCCACCTGGAACTTTTGTGTATGTCTTAGAGACACTAGATAAATTCCAAGTACCAGTTGTCGAAGTTTTGCTGGTAAGGATTGGTGTCCCATCTAACTTATGGACTGGTAGTTAAAATCTCCAATATGGAATTCGCGGAATGGTTTTAAGAGACTAGGGAAGGCATTTTCTGTGGCCGAAGTTACTAGCAACGATCACAGAGTGAAGACGAGGAGGGAATGAGCTATCTTGGGAACTGTATTGGAAAAGGTGGGTGACGAACAGAAGAATTACTCGGAAGAAGCATTAGTGTTGTATGAACTAAGAGCTCAAAAGATAACCGCTAGCTAACGTGCCAGTCACTCAAAGGAAACACCTTACTATCTTGCAACGCTACCCACCAGACTTGGCCATCAACCCACCACCACAAATTAACCAACCTACCCTATGATCACAGATTTTATAATCATAGAAAGGATAAATAAACTCGATAAAACTAAGATAAAGTTTAGAAGATTCACAGTACGAAGGTCCTATGTTGCCTTTATTTTACAGGAGGGGGGCGGGAGCAATAAAATGCAGTCTGCTGAACATCATATTTAGCCACCAACTCTTATTTCCATGATAATCTCGATGAAGTGTTTTCGGACGCTTTCGAACGATACCAGTTTAATCGAATGGAAGGATATGAAAACTTCTCAAAACAACTACTCACAGCCAAGGTAATCCAGTGGGACAGTTACACAGAACTCTCGGAGCTAACTTCAAACCTAGCCTAAAGATCACAACCAAAAAACACCTCATTCAGCGCTTCAAATCCTCTCCATTCGTATTGTCTAAGTTTTAATCCACATCATTAGAGTTGAAATCAGATTAAAGTGTGCATGATATGAATTACTTAGGTTTTGTTTACTTTTGTCAGTCCTTTGCGTTCTGAAAGAATCATAGGGCTTCAAGCTTTGAAATTCTCGGCAGTGGTATTGTTCTTCTAAGGAATGCCATTGCCAGGCTCACAACCAACATTCGTTTTCCAAGCATATCACCGGCTAGGAAACTAGGCAGTTGAGGAGGGTGTCTGTTGAAAATTAAACTTTGACTTTCCGGGTAATTGATGAGCATTCTACAATTGAATCAACAGATGCAAATACCAGGGGTACGATAGGACTCCTCAGAATCACTCACCTATCTGTTCTTAGGGGGTCGATCCAAAAACCCTTTGATCGCTAGGCGAGCTTGAGGGTTATTTAGCCAGTGAGACGGGATCCAGTGGTCCATGAACTCTACCTTCTGCCAGTAAGTAATATATGTCGCCAGCCAATGACATAGCATATATCTGTCATCCGGCCTGACTTGTTGGACCTTAATAGTTACGACTGCTCACTAGAAGGTTATTCCTCAAGTATTGTTTTCCAGAAATTTGATTCGAATCATCATCTTATCGAAGTTGCGGATTCGTGAAGTCATTTTAATGACGATAAATAACTAATCATTGTCACACATCACCTTACTAACCCATCTCTGTTTATCAGAGCCATTATTCGTATAACCAGATTATATGTGCGTTTTCTTATTCTCAGTGTTATGAAACAGAATTTGATGCAACTGAGCGCTAACAGACTCCTCTAATTACCACATACCATAATATTGTTCCAGTATTTGCGCTTTCGTTTATGCATTCCTTCACACATTTCTGAAACACACAAAAAAAGTGATTTTTCTTTCTCTCATTATTACAAAAAGAACCTCAATTATTCAAAGCATCGCATCAGCGAAGTGGAAAGACGGTCAGCAAAAGAAACTAAGTTTAATTCTTCCAGTTGATGGATAATTCCCATTAAATTCATCTAATAAGTAGGTAATTCCTATGTAGCACACAAAGCAAGAGAAGAAAGTAAAAAGAAATGCAAAATAGAGACAGTAAACAGAGATATAAGGCAAAAAGAATAGTAATATCGAAGAACAATACATAGTTTTATCGTGTATTATAAGTCACAAAGAGTGGATGCATCTGCGCCAGCCATTGAGAACGATTTCGAGCAATATCCATCCGTCATTGGTTTTTACCGTTCCGAGGACCCCAACCAGTCAGGAAGTCTACACCTTCCTACGTGGCTTAAAATAATTATTGTGAATTTCATTGACTGATGAAGCCATGTTTTGGTTTGGCCACCACTGGCTCTTTTCCAACCTGACCTGTCGAGGAGGGCGATGTCTAGGAATGCATGCGTAAGTAAGACAAGACTGTTTGCTATCATCCATCATATTCCCAAGGAGACTCTAGCGAATCTGCACTTAGCAGATGTCCTTTGTCTAGTGATTTACCGGTGAAAACCAATAAACTGGGAGAAGAAGCATTGTATTGAAGACAGAACTTCAGATGAACACAGAAAAGACAGAAGTGATGAAAATGACCAAACAACAATAACAAGCAGCAATCGTTATCAACAGAAGAAATATGAAACAGGCCACTTCCTTCATTCGTCGAGGCTGTATTGTTATAACTATAGGTGGCATGGATTAGGATGCCTAACGCAACCAGGATGGGAAAGCAAAAAAGATCTTCAATATAAGTTTTAAACTTGGGCACTGTGGTAGTGCATAACTCCATTATGGATAAGATTTTATTTTGATAATCACACAGTGTTGTACAGTTATATTAACTGATGACGTTTCGAGCACAAACTATTGCTCATAATCATATCATATGATATGATTATGAGCATCATCATCGCACTATCTAAGTAAGTAATCCCGGTTTGCTTTTGTACAATACAGTTTCTTTTGTGATCATTTGTGCGAGTAACCATCAGTAATACGCAATACAGTGTATTAAGATGACGACCCTCTAAGCAGTTGAGTCTCGTTATTTGTGGTGAGAGATGGTTGCTGTCCAAGTTGGTAGACAGTAATTGAGGTCAATGTTTATGTCCCAAATATTAGTTATGTCAAAACAAGGTCAGAGATGGACAGCAGACTTTGCGTAGGCGGATACAGTTAACATATAGATGATCTGACACAGCCACAAAGAGATGCAAGGTTAACTTTCTGTGAGAAACAATCAATCAAAAGACTGTATTTTCCACTAACAATAATCTAAATAATGTACATTAAAGTCTATAAATATGTGTTGATTTTCCCTAATAAACGATCTGTTGCCTGACTCTTGCTTTCT